ATACACTACTCTTCAGTACTTACCCAAAGGATGCTTCATCCTACTACAGAGACACTTGTTCAACAATGTTCATTGCTGCCATATTCATAATAGCCAGAAATTGGAAACAGCGTAGATTTATGTCATCAGATGAATTGATAAAGAAAATGTGGTACAACTCAATGGAATATACCTCCAAGTCTATTCTTTGGGCACTGACATATGATCCACACTTAAATGGAAGAATTGGGGGAGGAGGCAAGTGGTATACATAGTAAGGTTCAGTCTTATTGGCCATTGTTTCAGTTCTTGTTCTGAGGTGGTCTATAGAAGCCCTTATTCCTGTCATCTATGACTGGAGGGCCTCTGTCTGCAAAGAGCCCTGTCCTTGAGGTTTATTCTTCCTGGAATTCAAGGTGAATCCTTAAGAAAAGTTAGAGACAGTGATTTGAGGTCCCTCCAGCCTTAGTACTGGAGACAGTCAGATGCACAAATCACAGTAAAGATGCCAAGTTTTCCTGTATCATGTGGTTCAAGTGAAAGGTTAATAATTTTAGAAAAGGCAACTTAAAAGCACCTGTTTCATTAATAGCATTGTATATTTTAAAATTCTATTTTAAAGTTACTGTTAATATTTAGACATGTAGTAATATAATAGAACTGTTTTAGCTTTTTTGATGATTTTTATATTTCCAGGCCATCTGAACTTGACCTCAAGTAATCAATCACTTTTCCTCAGCCTCCTGAGTAGTGTGATTACAGGCACACTTTACCATGCAAGCCTTTTATCTTCTTCTTTTTAAAATGAAGCAATGCTAAAGCCCAGTCTTTTGGAGGTGTTTTCTCCATTGAGGTTCCCTCTCCCGGAATAACCCTAGCTTGTGTCAATTTGACAAAACAATTATCCAGCACAATATACACATGTAATTATAGAATTTATTGAACCACCTTTCATTAAAGTAGTATCAACAGTTAACTCACACCTGAACAGCTGAGAATGTTGTTTAGACTGTGAGCAGTCGGGGTAGTTCCACAAGTATTGTCTCTCCCATTGGAGAGACTCAGAACATGGTAGTTGATCAGTCCATGAGGGCAAGTGTATCAGCATCCCCAATCTGGGACCCAATCCTGGGGTGGTTCCTGAGAACTGCTGGTCAAAAATTGAATGCTGGATCTGGTTCTGATTAACATGGATGAATCAGCAGCAGCAGTAATGGGGTAAACCAAATAGGCAGTGAGAGAGGTTAGCGAGCAAAAGGGAAATAGTCATCCTTCTGCTGTGCCCTATTTATCTGGCTCATAGCAGAAGGTACTGCCCAGTCTTAGGATGGGTCATTCCACTTCAGTTAAGGTAATCAGAGTGGTTTCCCAGGTGAGGCTCCCCACTCAGTTAATCCTAATTTGTGACAAGAGGACATCATAACCAGTAATTAAACTAGCCCACAACATTACCTGGGATATATAGCCTTTTCCTGTAATTATATTAGTATGGAATTACTTGGTCAGTGTTTTGTGGAACTAATGGAAAGAAGACATCTAGAGTTGAAGTTTTCCTTATGGGGATAATTCTTTAACATTAATTCAGTTTATGGATTGTTGTAGCTTTCCTACATTTTCTGTGCTCCTTATTCCTCCCTGCATCTCTGTCCTTGTATTATCCATGTGGTAGTTTGAATGTAATTGGCCCCCATAAGCTCATAAGGAGCGGCATGTGCCAGGATTTTTATTTTAGGCAACTAACCAGCTCCCAAATCATTACACGGAGACTTACTAGTTTTGAATGCACAGCCTTAGCTTAGCTCATTTCTAACTAGCTCTTTTAATTTAAACCATTTCTCTTTATCTACATTTTGCCTTGAGATTTTTTACTTTTCTTTTCTTCTTCATACCTTATTTTCAACGCTTCTTGTGTCTGGCTGGCAGGGCTGCCTGGCTTCTGACCCAGGGTGTGTCCCTTTCCTCCTCATTCTCCTCTCTTCTCTCGTTCTTCTCCTGAATCTAGATTTCTCCTCCTATTTATTCTCTCTCCTTGCCAGCCCTGTTTATCCTTTTTCTCTGCCTAGCTATTGGCCATTCAGCTCTTTTTTTCCTTAGGCAGGAAAGATGAAACAAATGCAATATATCTTTGCATAATTAAATAAGTGCAGTGTAAACAAAAGTAGCACACCTTTACACAGTTAAAGTAATATTCCACAGCATAAACAAATGTAACACATCATTGCCTAGTTAAAATAATATTCCACAACAGTGGCACTATTAGGAGGTGTGCTTTGTTGCAATAGGTATGGAGGAAGTGTGCCACTGTAGGGCTGGGCCTGAGGTCTTATATATGCTCAAGCCACGACCAATATTTCAGTTTATTTTCCATATCCTGAGAATCAAGATGTAGAATTCTCAGGTCCTTCTCTAGCACCATGTCTGCCTGCATGCTGCCACGTCCCACCATGATGATAATGGACTAAGCCTCTGAAACACTAAGCCGCCACAATTAAATGCTTTCCTTTCCAAGAGCTGCCAGGGTCATGGTATCTCTTCACAGCAGCAGAAACCCTAAGCAGGATAATCCGTTTGACACCATTATCTATCTGACATGAACTTTTAGAACTCTATTTTGGGCATTTTACCCTGTTCTTGATACAGATTTTGTTTTTCTCCTCTTGGCCTAAAAATCCTAGGATCTGAAACTCCATAGAATTATATTTAAGAAACAAAAGTAAGTTCCTTCCTCCCCTCCCTAAAACTGTATGTTGCCATCTCATTACTGTTTTGACAGAAACTAAATTCTTTATTAATATTTGTTTTGTTTGTGAGTATAGAGAATTGAATCAAGAACTTGAAAATGCTCAGCAAATACCCTATGCCACTGAGCCAAGCCCTCACCTCCTTAGAAACTTAGTTCTTAACAGTCTATTTCACATTCTGAGCTGCACCTCATTGCTTAGCCCTTGGCGTTATTTAATCTATGCTCAGAACACCCACCGCCATGCCCTTCCTTTAGCCATCTTAACCAATGGATTCCATTAGTTCTTTTCAGTTTCATTCATCTTTCCTCTTCTTATTTCCACCAGGGTTTGTAAACAGTGATTGATATTTCTAGGAATAAAGTGAATCTTCCTTCTCTTCACAGATACACTGAAATGACAAATGAGATACAATAATGTTTAAATGTGTCACCCACCTCAAAAGGGACAAGGCAAATCTCTAGGGATCAGCATTGAAGAAAAAAATATAAAAGCCACAGGCACAAGCAGATAGTCAAATATGGGCTCTGACATCTGGTGGTTGGTCTCTAATGCCCACTAAAGGAGTCCAAGAAATAAGTGGAGCCAAAATGTATCTCCATTCATAAATATTAATGGGCATTTGCTGAACCGATTCAAGAAAAGTAATGAGCAAATGTTCCTCCCCACCCCCAGTTCCTAGGACATGAATAAAAAAAAATCATTCATTAAAATTAAAAATTCAGACTTCTTTTATGCATTAAGTAGTGAAAATAAATTTTAGTATCTAGCATAATACTGTAATTCTGTACTAGAAGTTTAGCATGGCAACTGATATAGGAGCTCTTGTGCCACAGAAGGCAGGGGACATTCAGATTCATGATGCCCCCTATAAAAATAAAAATAAAAATAAAAAAACCTAGGATCACAGTTACTTTTCTCACTGTTTCTGGAGTAGGTCATGGTCTCATTCCTTGAAAAATTAGTATTTTGGATTCCGCAGATGCCAGGGAGCAATGACACTTATTCAAAGGCTAACAATGTTGATAAGGTGGCAGAGCTACTTACTTTGCAGGTGGCTATGGACCACTGGGGAGTTGATGAGGAGGCAGGGGAGGAGCAGGGCAAAAGGCTTGTGTCTTCACTGCCCCCCCACCCTCACCGTGTAGCTCACACTACTACTACTGCCTGACTTCTCCTCCTCCTCCTCCTCCTCCTCCTCTTCTTCCTCCTCTTCTTCCTTCCCCTCCTCTTCCTTCTTCTTCCTTCTTTTTCCTTCTTCTTCTTCTTTCTTCTTTTCTCCAGAGCACGATCTCCCAGGAGTTGTAGCTCTTTTTAGACATAATACTTTCCTGGACATTGGGCCTCATAGCAGTTTACTATAAAGTTCTGTGGGAGTTAATGCATGGAAATAAAGACTACCAGGAAGTATTCCAAAGCCTGCCAGCTATTCCTTTTTTTCTATAAATATAAATAAAGATTTAGAAGTTAACATTAACTTAACCATTTGCACAGGTCTCCTCTTTACAGTTTTCCAAGCCTGATGAAGGGTGCTAAGTGAACTTGGAATGGTAGATAGTCTGTGAAAGGGTCAAGGCAGGAACTGCTAAGGAGGGGCAGAGACTAGTGCCAAGGTATTCTGTTCTTGCTGCTGAGAAGTCAGTTGTGACATAATAGAGAAATTCTGTCCACAGTAAAAGATTGGCTACAGGAAACAACAATAATCATTCTTTCATATTTTCATGAAAACAGATATATAAGAAAAGTTCATTTTGAATTTCTCATAAAACATGAGCTCAAGTTAAAAGTTAGTAAATGCCTGGAGAAAGTAAATCTCTTAAAGATTTAATTATTTCCAACATGCCCCATAAGGGGGAAATTTTAAATAATTTTCATTAAGTTGATTTACCCATTGGAAATGGAAATTACGATGGTTTTCTTTATTGCAATTTGACTGGATTTGGAAGCATCTCAGACACACCTGTGTTTGCTGAGAGGTTCCGTTGAGCAGGGAAGACCCATCCTGATGTGAGCAATACCATCCCAGATGCTGGGCCCCAGGACTGAATAAAAAAGGGAGAATGAAAAGCCAGCAGGGTACCGGCATTCACCCCTCCCTGCCATCTATTTTGTGACACACACAAACAGTGAGCCCTGAACAAAACTTCCCTTAAATTATTCCTTGTTAGGTATTTGGTCACAGCAAGGAGGAAAGCAACTAACATTGAAATGGAGACTGTGACATTCTTTAGCTATGCATGGCCATGTTCATTAACCTGATACCTTTTTGCTATTCTACAGCAACCTGGGGGAAAGATGAGGTCTGTGAGTTAATGGACCCTTTCTCGGTTACGGTGAGCTGTAATATGGGGAGCTAAGGTGCCAGAAAAGCAGTGGTCACCAAGGGCACCCCAGGCTAGTAGCTTCTCATTCTTTTCTCTAGTGACCATGAGGGAACACTTGTCTCAGGGACAATTGGAGGGTGAATTTCAGAAAGGATCTTTTATTGCTGGTGACAGATTCAAAGAAGGGAAAGAATCCAAGATCCTGTATTGCATAAGAGGTTCCCAAGAAAGAGCTGTAACCAAGCATCCCACTCTAGGGATTAATGATATGGTTTGTGGAGTGGGGGTTCTCAGTCGCATTGTCACATTCTTGAGGTATCCATGCACCTTTATATCTGTGCTTGTTTTTGTCAGCTTAAAGCAAACCTAGACATATCTGGGAAGATGGGTTCAATTTCCTGGGACACACATGATGTATTGATTCCCACAAGTTTATACTCTCACTTCCACATGCATGCTAGGGCAGGTGCTCAGCAAAACACAGCATACATGCACACACACACACACACACACACACACACACACACACACACACACACACGCTTTTTAAAAAGAGCAAGCTGAAATGCTGAATAATAAGTATATAATGCTTTGTTAGGGGCTATCTGAATTTCTAGAAAGTTAATTTGTAGATTTCCCTAGGGATAGTCTTTTCTCAGAACTGACTCTGTTATAGGCATTTTGTCTTGTATGTAGGTCCTAGCACACTTGGAAGTTGCCTCACATCTTTTGTATCTTACACCTGTTTTGGAAAAAAGCAAAAGCTAAATTCTAAGTCACACTAGTGACCTGGTGACAGTAGACACAACTATTGAGAAGAATGAAGATGTAACCACCAGCCAATCACAGCTGCACTAAAGGATCATCTTCCCTTAGATCCTGCTTCATTTTACTAAGGATCCGTCTTCAGAGATGATAAAGCAGTGGTTTTGAAAATGAACTCAGGCCAACATAATCCTCATTCCAAAGGCATTATTATTAGAAGGTGGCATATGCACTTCTCAGAAGCTAATTAGTTGCTACATGGCTTATCACGCTGAGATATCGCCATGACTCGTGGCTATTTATCTATCACCACAGGGTTTTCTAATGCTGTTTGCTTATGCTTCTGACTCAAGGCTTTTAGAGGGCATCCAGCAGTTTGGGGAAGGTGGCTTCTGCGTACCCTCTAAGTAGGTGGTGCATCAGCTTGTTCCTGTGGATGCGCTTGCACAGTGGTGTCCCAGATGGGGTTTCTTGGTAATGCTTCTCAAGTCAGGCATGACGACAAGTTCCCTTGATGAGACTTTTTTTTTTTTTTTTTTTTTTTTTTTTAAGAATTTAAACTTTTAGCATCAGGAAATAACACCGACAAGGATTTTGTTATGTATACTCTGGAAAGCTTTTGATGCTTGTACTGTTAGCTCTTCATGTTAACTTCATCCATTTCATTTGCACTATTAAAATTAGAATGAAGGGGGGGGCTTGGAAAATGGCTTTGTTAGTAGTGCTTGCTAAATAAGCTGAGGACCTGAGTTTGGACTGCTAGTACCCATGTAAAGAAGCTGTGTGGCGGGGCATACATGTAATCTTAGTGCCAGGGAGGCAGAGGCTGGGTGAGTCCAGAGGCTTACTGGCCAGTTAGTCTAGCCAATCTGTGGTCTTTAGATTAAGTAAGAAAATGTCTCAGAAAAAAAAAAAAGAAAGAAAACTTGAGTGCCAGGTGGTGGTGCAACACACCTGTAATCTGAGCACTCAGGAAGCAGAAACAGGTGAATCTCTGAGTTCAAAGCCAGCCTGGTCTACATTGTGAGTTCCAAGACAGCCAAGGCCCAAGGCTACACAGAGAAACCCTGTCTCAAAAAACAAAATAAAACAACAACAACAACAACAAAAAAAAAAAACAAAGAAAAAACTGTGGGTGCTGTAGGGGAAGACAGTTGACACCTGACCTCAGACTCTGGCCTCCTCATGTGTACACACACAAACATGTGCACAGGCATACACTACATAAACAGGCACAGGATAAAATAAAATTTGATATTTTATTAGATATTGATTGTATATAGTTAATGATTCAAATAGAGGAAAAAATAAAGTTTTTCATAGAATGATCCTAAAAGTTTTACACCATTTATATAAACTTAAGAAACATCTAACTCTTAGCTTTTTTGTCTCTTTTGATTTCTGAAGAGTGGAAAGGAGTTTTAGGATGACTTAATAATAGCTTAATGTCTGAGGCTTTTCAGGACTGGGCTTTGTGTTAGAGAATCCATAAATCAGCTGCTTGCAAGAGTTGTTCTCATTAATTGCAGGGTGTTGATTAGCAGGGCTTGTGTGTGATGTATGAGCATTTGAACACAGTGAATGGAGTGAACATCATGCTCCTCCATCTCCAGTTTCATATAGCAGTTGCATGCATGGACTTTAACTTGTCTAGCTCACAATAACACAGTTCATTGTACTCAGTTCCCATTTTTCTTACAGATTGACCTCATCGCTTTAACATGATACCTGGTGGCAGGAAGTCACACAGTAGGGAACAGGGAGTAGGAGGAGAGATAAAATGTTTCTGAGATATTTCCCAAGGATCGTATTCTAAGCAAAGGTGTGTCCCTTTGTCCTTGAAGAGCATTTAACAAAGTTGAGGATGTGAGCCTCTGAAACCACTTTGACATTAGCATCCATGTTATTTTCTGAAAAATGAAACAGAGCTTTGTGACTATCTCTGCAACTTGATGTCTTTGCTTTCCGATACCCATATATCTGTTAATTGGATGGCTTTTAGGAATAGCCTGTGATATTCAAGGGCAAGGCAGGTGCCCATTTACTGTTTACCTTCTCCATCCAACAGTTTCCATCCAACAGTGCCCTAAATACAGACTTTCTGAGTGTGACCCAATGCTGTAGTCACAATTAGGTATATTGTTTACACAGTCATCTTAGGAGCACTGAATATTTGTGTGACTTCCAGCTTTTTCTAACCTAGTCTCAGTTTGAAATTGTACTTAAAGAAATGTTGTCCAGCAACTGAAAGGCATCTTTGAAAATCAGTCTCGGCCTTGAACAGAACAGCATGTAGGTTGTAACTTAGCAGTTCTTAAAATCTGGCACCCCCACAACTGCCTTCAAAGCTGAGGCCCAGACCCACCCCAATTGTCTTATTTAAAATCTCCTCCTACTTTTTTTTGTCTGATCTTCTCTCACAAATCAGGTTTATTTTGCACTAGTGTATTTTTCTACCTTTCCCCTTTTTATGTCTAGAATGATGATGACAAAAACACCAAATTGACAAGGCCAAATTCTCTCATGCGGACTGAAAAAGGAAAGAGGCTAGCTGTTTTAGCAGACTGTGAGTTGAGCAGGAAAGGCGTCTGCTGGCAGACTACATGTAGCTAACTTATACCCCCAGCATTTTCAGAAAGCAGTACTTGTCACCCGCTGCATACCTCGTAGGCCACTTCTGAGTCCACCTGTCTCTGCCTTTATCTTGTACTTAAATTTGACAGTGGCTGGTATTGAAAACCTTTTGTATTTAAATGCTTTACTCTGTTAATCCATTGAGCTTTCTCAATCTCTTTGAAGGACTTTTAGTTTTCTCCTTCTATAGATGAGGCATTGAAGACCAAAAGAGGTTGAATAACTTCTACTAACTTACCCGGCTTGTAACTGGCATAGTAGGTATTGGAAGCTATGGTTCCTGAGTATACTGCCATCTGTGGTGAGAAGCCAGTTTAGTGTGTGCCATTAAAGTTGGGTTCTGGCATCTGCTAGGTTCTTTGACTCACTGCATTATCTGGGATAATGTCCTCTGTGAAGTGGGGTAATTACATGCTCTCAGCAGAGATGTGCTGAGGATAAGGGCTATAATCAGGACGTGGAAAATACCTAACAGAATTAGGCAGTTTTAACAACTATACTAAATCAGCATTGTCAATCGCTGGATAGATTTGGGGGACTCTTTCTAACTCTATGTATCAATGGCTCTAGAGGTTTTTCTAGATCTCTGGTCTTTTTTTCTGTCACCTTCAGCATGTTGATATTCATTTTAAATCATCAAGCTTTCTAAAGGCCTGAGGATGTGTCTACATTTCTTGTCATGTAAAATCTCTAGTTTGAAAACCAGCATTATTGCTTAAATGTGTGGTTCTGATCTCCCATGTATAGGAGGTTATGTAGCTGAAGGCAGAAATGGAATGATTGTTGATATCTAGACCAGTATAGAAAAAAAATCCTAATAATAAATTAGTGCTTATTTGTGAAATTTTATTGAGATGGTCCCATAGTCAAAGAAATGAGGAGAATGTGCAATTAACTTGTTAACATGTGTTGAAAATGTTTATTTCCAAGTTCCACAGAAGGCATTTTAGAGTAGTCTGTGCTGCAGTAATAACACGGGTGATGATTTAGTTTAATACTCCTTCTGCTTATGTTGTAAAACTTATAAAATCATAGACTGGCAGGCACTACAAGAGCAAGGAGCACCAAGATAAATGCTTATATGTTTGCCTTAATATTGTGAATATTCCAGTTTTTTGTTATTTATTTATTTGTTACTAACTGGAAGATAAATAAGGCTAATTAAAATTTAACAAAAGGTACAATTGGTAAGGTTGCAAATCGCTGTGGTATCAGCAGGAAGTTTAGTGAAGCTCAAAACTCTAGGTGGAAGTGGGCCTCTATCTAGAGAAGGAAGAAAAGGAAAGAGAATTGGAGATGCAGGGTACAGCTTGCAGTGCTTATATGAGAGAGAACTATGCGATTTATGGTGGTGACCAACAAACAAAAGTTGGTGATGAATTGAGGGTATAGCCTAGTGGTGGTGCCCAGCCTGCATGAACCCTGGGGTCAGACTCTGTCCCTATTGAAATTGTTTGTTGAGAAGTGCAGGTATTGCTGTCACTGACTGCAAACAGATGTCACTGAATATAGAATGTGGTAGATTCAGGGGTCCTGAAATACAAGGACTCTTGACTGGAAGTATCAGGTTTCTAGGTGTGTTCTTCAGGACAAACCAGTCCCTTAAAAGCAGTTCTACATGGGTCTGTTGTGCAGTGTTATTGCTCTGTCTAATCTAGGGATTTATTTATAGTATCTGGAAAACATAAAGGTTGAAGTTCTATACATAATAATGTAAGCAGTTTACTGACCCACCTACCCAGCCCCATAACATTTTCCTTTTCATATAAGATCATCTGTTTTTCAGAACTGTGGATTTCTAAAAATTCTGTCATTATAAGCCACCTCAGAAATACACAACTGGGCAACTGAATGACATGTCTTAATGTCAGTAAATCAACTTAAAGATTTTGTATGTGTTTTCTAAATAAAGATTTGAATAGTTGTTATAAATTATTAAGTAGTGTTTTATTCTCACTGTTATCTGATAACATTTCCATATAGACTAAAATAATTTAGCAACTACATCATTTTTTCTAGAGCATAATTTTATATCTCTAGTCTATAAAGCTATAAACCATATTTATACCTTTAATGTCATTGTAGAACTGTTGAGGTACTTCTATATGTGACCTTTAAATGACAGTGTGAGCTGACCACTTGGGAGGTAGAAGCAGGAGGATCAGAAGTTTAAGACCGCTAGGCAGTGGTGGCACATGCCTTTAATCCAAGCATTCTGGAGGCAGAGGCAGGTGAATCTCTGTGAGTTAGAAACAAGCCTGGTCTACAAGGGCTAGGTCCAGGACAACCTCCAAAGCCACAGAGAAACCCTGTCGAATAAACAAAAACAAAACAAAAAACCAACCAAACAAAGAAGTTCAAGACCATCTGTACTTACCTACTGTGTTCATGACTAGTTATATATAAGACCTCACTAAATAAACTAAAAATAAATCAATTTAAATAATAGTATATAAAACAATATTCAGATATTGGAACCTCACATATTTCTTTACTTGTATACAATAGCTCCATGTCAGTCACAAACAAAAATCTTGAACATGTGATAACCTGTTTTCACAGTAAAGGCCTGTATCTGTGTGTGTGTGTGTGTGTGTGTGTGTGTGTGTGTGTGTGTATGTGTGTGTGTATGTGTTAACCTAGTGCAGCTAAGTATAGTGACAACAGGGATTGCACAGATGTCTCATGTCTACTTTGGTTCTTCACTGCAGGCATTGGTTCCATGACAGTGCCTGTGTACATCGCAGAGGTTTCTCCACCCAACCTGAGAGGTCGACTGGTCACCATCAATACCCTCTTCATCACAGGGGGACAGTTTTTTGCAAGTGTCATTGATGGAGCCTTCAGTTATCTGAAGAAAGATGGATGGAGGTCGGTAAATTGTTCTTATCTTCAATTCAAATAAACTCCATTGGGAAAATTGAGATATCTTGAATCATGGTAGTTAACTTATAATTAGGTGGCATTCAGCAAAACTGAAAGTAGTTAAGGAACACTATTTTAATGATTGACAAGAAACCTCCCATTAAGATTTGATATTTGCAGAAGACTGGTTTTTCCATTTAGGTGATATTTCTCATACAGTGTATAATCTTTCACAAAAATAATAATGTAATAAATATATGTGGAGTTTTTAAGTTCCATGAGTGACTGACAAGCTGTTTATAAACTGCAGAGACAGCTTCCTCTTTGGGTGTAGGAAGCTACATTCTCATCTGAAAGGATCAGCATTTAAAAGTACAGATTCAGTCATATAAAAAGCAATCTATATAAAATTAAAATACAAAATTATTCCTTGATCATAATTTTAATCAAAGTAAATGAGAATGATGATATGAAGATAAACTTTAAAACTAAATATGTGAACCATATTTATAAAACCAAATTTGTGTTAAAGCTTAAGATGAGGGACATGATTTTTATTCATTGCTTTATAGTGTTTGAAACAACAGATGCACATACATATTCTAAGAAATTGTTACTGAAAAGCACACCAGGCTATGCAGTAGTGTTTGGCTTATTTTTGTGTCACTGCTTATTACCACAAATGCTCTTTCAGCTGGGGCTATCTAAGCTCTGTGAGAATGTTGACTGAGAGTCTTGGGCCGTTGCTTCTACAGTATTTGTGATATTGAAGCTGCTCAAGGGGTTGGTTCCAGTGTGGTAGAATCAGAAGGACCTGAACTGCTATAAAAGCAGCCTATAAGCCATGTGGCTTAGGATAAGCTGTGAGAAAGCTTTATGAGAAGTCATGTGGAGTCAGTGAGAGTCTGCCTCTCTCAAGACTTGCTAAACCAAATACACAGTTGGAATAAAAATCTGCTACCTAGCTTTCTCCTGAAGGAGTCTGTCTTTACAGACTCAGAGATTGCTGGAAAACTGCAGTGGAAGCTTTAAGCTTTCTCTTCTACTCTGTAGATGAAAAGGAAGAGGAAGTTTATTGCTGCTACTGTTTTAATTTGACATTTTTTAGTTTTTATTTGAAACTTACAAGTCAGGGCTTACATGAACATATATAACTCAAGTCATCTATTGCATTTTGATAAACTCACTTAACATATTTTTTTAGTAGTAGCAGTTAGGACATCAAGGAGGTTCATGAAATAAAATGTTTATGAGTGTGGTGCACTTCTGTAAATGTGGCATCCCTGGGGCCAGCCTTAGCCCCCTTAAAGATGGTCAATAAAATTTCTGCCCCAAATCCAACTCTGGCTTCTGCTGCTCCTTTATTAACATTTTCATTTATTTTACATACTGCCCACAGTTTCCCCTACCTCCTCTCCTCCCATTCCCTCCCCCAGCTCCCACCTGCCCTCCCTCCCAATCCACTCATCTTCCATCTCCATTCATAAAGGAGCAGGCCTCCCATGGGCAAAAACAAAGTGTGGCATATCAAGTTGAGGCAGGACTGAACTCTTCCCCCTGCCAAAAGCCAGGTTCCCAAAAAGCCAGCTAAGCACCAGGGGACAGGTCCTGATCACACTGCTAGGAGCATTACAAAGAGAACACACTACTCAACTGTCACACACATGCAAAAGGCCTAGGTTGGTCCTTAATTGTTGGTCCAGAGTCCCTGTGCTCCCATGATCTCAGGTCAGCTGTCTCTGTGTGTTCCTCCATCATGACCTTGTGCCCCTGGGCTCATACAATCCCTCCTCCCTTTCTTCAAGACTCCAGGAGCTCAGCCCAATGCTTGGCTGTGGGTCTCTGCATCTGCTTCCACCAGTTACTGGGTAAAGGCTCTCTGATAATAATTTGGGTTCTACTGCTCTTTCATCACTTATAGATACGGGACAAATCATGTAGTTCCTTTGAGCTTAATTTCTTCCCAAAAATGTGGGAGCAAAAATTAGAATTGTTAACCTTGTGAGATAATTGCAGAAACTAAAATGTTTTATGCATAACATATTTCTAACATCTAACCCAGTGCTTGGTAAACAGTAGGCATTTCATAAATGAGTTTCACAGTTATCTACTGTTCTGATGTATGAGTGCCACTGTTGGTATGTTGCAAGAGAAGCTAAAAGAAAATGAACACTCTGTGATCTGTATTTGCTTGCTGCTGAGGGTGGGGCATAGGTTGGTAGAGAACAACTTCAGAGAGGGAAATCTACTGTAACCGTTATGGATACATAATTCTAGCCCCCAATCCAAATAGGTCTTCTACTGTTCATTCAGTACCTATAGATCTGGAACAAATTGTGTGGGCCCTCTGAGTTTAACTTCTCCCCAAATATGTGGGAAGAAATCACCATACCTTATGCTATGGGTGTGTAAGGTAGCAAATACTAGAGAGAGCAGATGAATTCCTGGAACCTAGTGGTATCACCTGGGTGTGCAGTCATCTCTTTAAAATAGAAAAATTAGAGGTTAACTATAATTATATTCTTCATTTTTTATCTTTGAGATTATAACATAGTCACATCATTTCTCCCTTTTCCCCTCCCTCCAAACTCTCCCATATTCCTCTCCTTGCTCTCAAATTCATAGCCTCATTTTCCATCAATTGTTGTTACACATGTGCATGTGTACATATTACTAAATATATAAATATATCCTGCTCAGTCTGTATAATGTTGCTTGCATATATGTTTGCATAGCAGACCATTTAGTATTAAATCACTAATTGGTGTACTTTTCCCTGGGGAAGACTCAGCTTTCCCGAGTTGTCTGTAGTTCTTTATGTAGGTTGCAGCCTCAGAGATTTTACCCGTCTACTTTAGCATGTTTATTGGTGCAGTCAGGGTTAGGAGTTTGTGTTGCTGAGATTTTACAGTTTCTGACATTCCTAGGAGACACATCTCCCAGAAAACCCTGTTCCTTTGGCTCTTATGATTTTTCTACTTCTCTTCAGCAATGATCCCTGAGCTTTACGTGAAGGAATTGGGTTGTAGATTTATCAGTTGGGGAAGGGTTTCACAACTCTGCATTTTGATTGGTTGTGTTTTTTCTGTAATGGCTTTCATCTTTTGCAAAGAGAAATTTGCATGAGGGATGAGGATGACACTTACCTATAGGTATAAGGACAGATGTTGAGAATATAGTTGGGAACAACACTGGCTTAGTAAAGTAGCAGTTATAGGTTCTTCTCCAAGGTCCATGACATCACTAGGATCATTGGCTAGGTTTCCAATATCTGGCATGCATTCCCTCTTGTTGAGTCCAATTAGAGAACTGCTGTTTACCAACAAGTGGCCATTAGTGCATTCTGGAAGTTATTGTGCCATGCTAATCATTGTAGTTCATAGGTCTCATAGATGAGGAGGACTGTGGCTTGCTTCCCTCCTTTGGAAGCTTGCATGATACCTTCTGGTACCATGAAAGCTAATTCTCAGTGTGGAGGCTTTCAGGTCACATCCAGCTTAGGTCCTCTGGACCCTGTGTCTGAAGTGCACGGTGTCTTCAGCAATAGGGACTTACCCATTCACCATTGGGGGAAACTGAGGGCAATACCAATAGCTTATGATGTTTTGGGAGTCTCTTGGGTGACTCTGACCAATGTTTCAAAATAGTTTTTTTTTTTTTTTTCATACCTGGTGTTGGGAAGTTTGTTAGATGGCCTTTGGCACTTGGAGGGAACATTGACTATGCAGATGGGGAAATGTCATTTACACTATATAAACCCATGTCAAAGCCAGCAAATTTGGACAAGGAGAAGTGGTAGCCTGTGGAGGGGCTTCAGTCATCGGGGAATTTAATAAGGGCAGTAGAAGGTTTGTCTGCAATGGGGGTGGATAGAACTTTGAGTCCATTGGTGACATAGATCTTTCTTTTTTAAAACATTAGTTATCCACTGCTTTAAGAATACAGTACGTTTGGTTTTGTTTGTTTGTATGTCTCAGATAATTTTTAACATATATTTTTATTATTCTGTTTTGTGCATATGAGTGTTTGCCTGCATGTACGTTTGTGTACTGCATGCATGCACGGGGCTCACAAGGGCAAGAAATTGGTTCTGGATTCACTGGAGCTGGAGTTACAGATGGTTGTAAGCTACCATACAGATGCCAAGAATTAAATCCAGGTCCTCTGGAAGAGCAGCCAGTGCTCTTAACCTCAGAGCCATCTGTCCAGCCCCTTGTTCTTTTAAAAACAAGTGGTGAGCTTGCCTCTCTTTCAGAATCACTTACACGTTCACAATTTTAAAAGCCTCATCAGTGAGGTGTTATTTGAATGTTAATTGAAAGAATGTGATTTGTGTATCATTCAGAAGGTAATGCTTTCTGAAAACATTCATGCTCAAGAAATGTCCTTATAATTAGTGGTAATTAGTAATTACTGACTATATATGAAATAATAGAATGAGTTAAGCTCTATCTAAAAATCATTCCATTACCATTTTAACAAAAAATGAATTTGGAATGCACATACTAATTACGGGTTAATAGCTTGATTAAAATTATGAATCTGAAGCTATTACTAGATTAAGATACAAGACATGAATAGAAGTATTTTAGTGTGACTTGGAATATACTTGAAGTTTCACTTTCATGGTGTAAGTGGATTAGTCTAAGGTCTCATATCCTCATGTAGTTGGTAACTTCAGCAATGGTGTTATTGTATGGATTGAGTGAATATCTATGAAAATTCTTAAGAACTCTTAAATACTAGATATTACTTGCTTTCATTTTAAGTAAACATTAATTTCAGCCTCTATATCCATCTAATCCTGTTAATATAAAAAAACATTCCCACTTTCTGTTCCCTGAATTTCCCCAAGTAAGCAAAAGTATAGTACAAATTCTTGTTGGTTTTAATAATAAAAACCCATTGGGGTTAAAGCTGAAGATCAGAGAAGCAAAGCAGCCAGCCACTAGAGAGTTCTCACCTCTACCAATGCTCAGATTGAAGGGGCGATCCTCAGACTGCTC